TATCACTTACATACTCTGAGTTATAAAACAGTATTACTCACATTAGTTAAATCTATCATCGTAGTAAGTGACTGCAATTTGTCCTCTCTTCCACTTTTCTCGTTTCCCCTGCCAACCCTAGTGCCAACACAAATATTTCAAGACAGCCATAACTTTCCTAATAATTCCCAAATTAAATGTTCAACATATTTAAGTCCAATTGTAAAATAAAGACACGCTAATGCAATGTGAAAATGGAACTCTTCAATGTAGTGCTCAAATTCCACTCAATTTGTAATATCGCTACCAAAAGCAAATGGAAAACATGGGTCTATGAATAAGAAATGGTGATACTATTGCATTTTTATTACAGCATTGACGGCAAGATACATAACTGTTTCTCTGACATGTTTACAGCCTGAAAGGGAAAAAGAAAGCTCTAAAACACACACTTATTAAAAGGCTCCCTTACGTATATCATTGCCTTTTCTCTCAAATACATTAAGCACCATTAAGAAACCTCACCTTGTTATTCCTCAAAAAGCAATCCCTTTCTTTCTCTGTAAACTGATAAACACTCCATTGACTGTATTCTCTGTTATAGTAAGAACACTGAGATATTTAGACATGGTGATGAATTACCTCTGGGAATAATACATAATAATATTTTATACTTCTGTAATCTTTTCACCCAAAAGCCATAAAACACTTGAATACCAGGGTAACTTTATGGATGATGAAAGAGGAAAGCAGAAGGTGAAATTCATTTTACTAAAGGAAATCCTGGAAAAGAGTCATAGTTATATTCCATAGAGTGTGGAATGTGTTTTTACTTCTGTCCTCTGTGCTCTGGTAATTTTAATCCATACAGTTAGCAATGAAACTTGCTCAACTTCAGATACCGCACCAAAAGCAGTTTATTGTTCCTTAATTCTGAATCTTCTGGCCTCTGACATTTTCTGGTAATTTTATTTCCTATCAGCATGACTAAACCCAAATTGGGCACAAATCACCTATAATTTTTAGCCATGCTTTGTTAAGCTGCTATCTTTTTTTTGTTGTCTAGTAATCATATCTCATATAACTTAATAAGTAATTAAATACACTAAATAAGTAAATGACAAATCTATCAACTGTTTTCTTGTCCTACAGTTAACATGCCCCTCTGAAATTTTCCAAAGACAAGAAAAGAACTAAGTTCTGATTACTTACTCAAATTTAATCAAACTAAATCTGAAGGTATTTTCTGTAAAACAAATACAACATGTACTAGCAAAAAAAGTGCTGGGAACAGAGCTTGTACCTGTTTTTTGTAGAATAAAATCTGCCAGACAACATATAAAAGTTCACACACAGACATCCTGCTATTTCTTTTGAGACAATAATAAAAGTATAAGGCCAGGCAAATTTATATAAGAGCAAAATCAATTCCTCTCTAGCTTTGGCTGCCCTGAATCAAGCTGTATGAATACCGACATTAACATTCTGTTATTCAAAACAGGACCATTAATCATAAACATAAAACATAACACTTGAGACTGCTTCAAAAAATCTAGCCTTGCTTTTTGTCTCTGTAACTACCCTGTTCAGCATATCAGAGAGACCTTAAGATGAAGAAAAAACCCAAACAGTATTTTGTTAATGCATGCCTATGCGTGTGCAACAGTGTCTTGGTTTACTGTAGCTTCTTTGAGGAATAAGGTTTTCACAGAAACTGCACAAAGAAAACTAGAAGCTATTTAGACCACCGCACCCCTTACTAAGGAGATACATACTTATTTTAACTCTAAGCTACTTTTCTGCTAATTATCACACACACCCAAACACAAAAAGTAGAACTGGTCTTCTTCCGGCACCCACAGGGTCCACTTTATTCCAAAATACAAATTCTATTTATTTTTGCCTCCTCTCAACAACACTAAGAGAGCCAAGAGAAACTGAAGAACAAAACTTAACCCCTGCAACAGCAAAGATCCTGCCATTTTAGACAAGTTGGTGCAACAGATTCGTATTTTTAAAGGCAGGTGTGTGATTCCATTGTATGCAAGATGACCTAGTTATCTTTAATTCAAGTACTATTTTCTTTAATTCAGCTACTTAAAAGTACTTACAGAACTGAACAAAGAGTGGTACATGTAGGGAAAATCTGAGAGACTTAGATAGCTGACAAACTTGTTGCAAAGTATCATTTTATACTGGCATCATTTTCGCCCTAAGTTAACTTTCAACTATGAGGCTCAATAACGAATTTATGGGTTGTGGCGCAGGACAGCGCAGTCCTGCAGCAGTCCACTACTAAAGCACAAAATGGTGAATCTGAGTCTAACAAAGGCAGCTATACAAGAAATTTTAGGCACACCTCTTGAAATATCCCATCTGAATCCAGTTCTTTGCTGTTTTCACAGAAACTAACTTTGGGTCTTGGTTTGTGTTGTGAGGCTAAATGAAAGCAATGTGTTGTAGTTTTGAACTAGCCTGAATGTTCAGTTCAATAATTTGATCTGCTGGGCCCACTGACTGGTCTTGGCAGCAACTCTTTACCTCTTCGTATCTCAGTTTCCCACTCTATAAATGATGAAAAGGATACTGCTCTCTTTTCTGAAGTGTTTTGGAATCCACAGGTATCCACAGGCAGATATCTTTACCATCTTTTGGATAAGCAGGGAAGTATCTACCATCTCTACATACCTGGGAGAAAGTCTGAAGCAGAGAAACAATGGTTAGTAGCAACAGTGAGGAGCATCACCGGTGTAATGGCAAAACAAACTGCCAGTACATTTGCTTCCCAAACCAGAAAAATATTCCATTGACATGGGTGTTTCATGGAATGTTGCCACCACATTCGCAACTGCAAAAAACCTGAGTCAGTCATCAGAACGACAGCAGTTAAAGGAAGTCATCAGTTGTGCTTGTTTTCTTTCTTAAATCAAGGACAGGAGAGATTAAGCACAAATATTGGCATCCAAGAAAATCTTAGATATGAACATTCAAAATATTATGGATGGACAGGGACATTATAGTTTTAAGCTTTGTATTAAACAACTTCCTCATAATGCTCAACTTCTGTAAACAGTGTAAGAGCTGCAAGTCTACTATTCAGATTAATGCATACATTTAGAATACTTTACTGTGTCTTGTGGTTTAGAGTCCAAACTATTAGCTTTTCATAATTCAATTCAAAATTATATTACCTGCAGATAACTGTAAATCATTTCACACAGCACCTTTGCAAAGCCAGCTACCTAAATCTCCAAGACATTTATTGATGCTAAGACTGGAAAGGAATGTCCCTTTACAAATGGACAGATGAAAAAAAAATCCATATTACTTTTCAGATTCAAGTCACAAACTCACTTTTCTCAAAAACTGCTAGCAGTTTTTGGAAACAGAAAGAACTTCTACATGCTTCTGTGATGTCAAAGATGAAATCTCTGCTTGTGGAGGTACAATCTGTAGCAAGAACACACGTCTGCCAAGACTCTGGCATTGATGATATTTTGTCTAGACAGCCCTTGAATGTGACTGACACAGGAACAATGCACATGGTTGAGGAAAGTGAAACTTACAGAAGAGCTTTTCAAGGCTTAGTCAACATACAGTATTTTGGAAATTTGCTTAATAACCTCCAACCACACCTCCTGGTATCCTCTTCAGGAATCTAACAGGTTTTGTTTCTTCAAGTCTCCCGGTTGTCCCAGGAGACAGAAAGATAGATTTGCTTAGATAAGATGCCACCACGGCCTTTTGGACGCAAGTAAATATTGTTGACAAGTGGAGAGGTTTATGTGCTGGCTAGTCACTGAGAAAGGCATTCAAGTCGTTGGATGCGTTATTTGGAAGGACTGAAGATTGTAAGTAATTGCTAACCTTTTCTCAGCTATCGGACTTGACTATGAGAAACACATGACAACTATTAGCTAAAGGACAGAAATGACTAGCTGCAGTTGATAACTGTTTTAGACATTTTAGAAAGCACTACATATTTACCTTGACCCTTTGGGCCACGACAGAAGTAGCCTGAACCATGTGCATGCTTTGATGGGAAAGTCCACATGAACTTGTCACAGACAGCAGACAATAGTTTTTGGGAAATGATGAATATCATGTACTGTCAAATGTTATTTTCACTGTATGACAGCCTTAGTTCACTTAATCCTCAAGCAACTGTCAGGGCTAGGAGAACAGAGGAAAAGGTGAAGGAGACTCAAAGACAAGATTATTGGCTTTTAGCTTTAGTTGGTTCACTTCCAATTCAACTGCCACTGAAGTCAACAGCTCCCTCCTAACTTACTGGGACTTGACGCTAACTTCTACCAATTAATATTACTGACAGTACTGTTCAGCAGCCCAAAAGGAAAAAAAAAATTTAGATTCTAGTTTGCCTTCCTTAAGGCCATCAGGCCTTAAGATGCCCTTCTACAATCACAGTAAAAGCACTAGCTATGGGTATGGATCCTCAGAGATCCAGCAAATTTTTGGCACTCAGCACAAAAATTACCCTGGCTAAATGCAAAATAAGGTAGGTGCTTCTTCCCTCCAAATAAAATATGGACCTCAGTGAACCTCAGCTTAATCCTGATCCAGAAATTTGCACACTTGACCTGCCAGGTTAATAGTGTTCGAGTTTGGTCTCCAAACTCACAAACTCAACGTACTGACTAGGTATGAAGTGTGTAGGCAATAGTAGCAATACTTGTGAATCTACAATGAGGTTCTGAGAGAGGTTTTATCACTGGGAAGCACTGAAATACTTGCATTTTGGGACTTTTCTGTAACTCTGGAGGAACCGCAAAATTTCTCACCTATTTACACTGTGGATTCAAAGAAAAAAAACTATTTTGCTCTAGCTACTAGGTGTAAATTGGCTATCATATTTCTAACCCAGAAACTCCAGTTTCTCCTCCCATCCCCTCTCTTCCTCCTGCCCCTTCTCCTTCCACCTGCACTAGGGGAACACTGTTGTGGAAGCAGCAAGGCTAGGAATTTGGAAGCTCAGGGCAAAAATAGACCCTGGCCAGCACCTGGTGTTTTCCAGCAGGCCAGCATGCTCGTGACTGTTCCAGATCTGGACCCTCATGAAGAAAAGTGAAACGAAAACATCTTTTGTTTCGTAGGCTCGTTGGATTTGCAACCAAAACTAACTGGCTCCGGCAGGTTGTGTTGCCCAGCATTTTTTGTGTCACTCTCACGCACTTGCACCTGTCGGGGATGGACTCCTCGGGTGGGCCAGAAGGAGCAAGACGTGTTTCCTATTTTGACAGCACACGGGAGCCGAAGGCTGGGACCAGCGGGTTCTGGTGTTTACTGTCAGCCATTAAGAAAGGCGAAACACAGCATCAGCACCGCGGTGACAGGGCGTCAGGCGCACCTTCCCCACGGCCGCTCACAGGCAGCAGCCCCTCGGCTTTGTCCGTCTCCTCCTCCGCTCCAACCACCCGGCTCCGCTGCCGCGGGGTCCGGCGGGCTCCTCTCACGGCCGGCCCCGGAGTCACAACATGTCGCCGTCCCCGCTTTAAGGTCACCTCATGGCGCTGCCGTCGAGCAGGGCCGCCGCCTCCGGGGGCTCCCGCGCGGGGCCGCGGCCGTTAAACGGGCAGCCGGAGGGAGGGGGCAGGGCCACGGGCGCCGGGGGCACTTACCAGGTCTATGAAGGTCAGAAATTTCCAGCTGCCTCCATAGGTCTGATGCGCGGGCATGTCAATGGCCTTGTAATTGCACAGGATGGAGCAATAGGACAGGAGGATGGCGGCGCGCAGCACCTGGCAGGGCACCAGCGCCATGTTGCGCGCTGCGCCGGGGCGGCCTCGGCGGCGGCGGGCTGCGAGCCAGCTCGGGGTGCACTTCCGCGTGCGTGTGTGTGTGGTGTGCGTGTGCGCGCC